AGTTTGAGTCTGTTCCTTCTAGGGTAGACGGCACTAGATCGCGGAATTTGTCCTGTGCAGTAGTGGGAAGGAGTACCATTACTTTCAGCAGCAGCAGCAGCAGCAGCTACGGTAGCTCTGCTATCTTGCATTAGTCCTTGCATCGCTCGACAGAAGGACGATGGTAAAACTCCCGGCTTCGAGGCCGCGGCTGCTTTGTACTACTGTAGCCTGTATGCGCTCTGCCACAGGTAGCCATTGCCAATAATCCAGGAATATTGCAGCCCCTCTGCTAATGTTTGGTTGGTGGAAACCGTTTATCTCATGTCAAGAGGGCGCATGCGTACTCAGTACCACATTGTGAAGGGGGTTAGAGTAATTTGTGTTCCACTGCTGTTTATTCCAGAGAACGAGAAAATGTTATTATTTTTTTCTTTTTTCTTGGTTGTTGAATTGTTTGCTTTTTTTCTTTTTCTTTATTATTTAAATTTTTTTTTTTCGTTATTTCTTTTTCTCAAAATTTCTTTTTCCACGGTTAAATTTTTGTTTGGGATAATGCCTGCTCTCTTTCTCGCAGTATCCTGGTGGTGATCGATCGCGTCAACTCAATCGAACAAAAATAGTGCCGACTTCCTGGCTCCAGTTTATTTTGGGGCCACAATGCCGAGGAGGCACAAAATCGACTCAGCGCATACCCACTGTAGCTTCCCCGAAAATTTGATGTGTTCGCTCTCTCTCTCGGTTTTAGTGACGCCTTTGCGTATCCATGCTGCCTCTTCAGGGAAGCAAACAACACTGGTGTCAAAATTTTCCTTTTCAATAAAAATGATTAAGATTTTTTTTTTAGCTCACTTGCGGAAGGAGTGAGCACCCGTGTAAGCCAAAAGGGTCACACATAGACCCGGTTTGGGCTTCCACCCAACGGGCGAAAAAACTTGCTCACAGTATCCATCCATCCTTCGCATCAAGTCCAATTTGAACCAGGGTGGAACAGACAGGCCTGGCCGATCTTCTCGCGCGCAGAGCCAACGGAGCCTCTCGCGCGAGTTGTGACGTTGGCTTTCATTTCGGGAATGCGGTTCAATGTCCGTGGACTATCGGGTTTCTCCACCGAGCCACGTTAATGTTCCATAATCGGTAGAGATGGGCCGCGGAAGGTCATCCAGGCTATCTAGAACATTTCCCAGATGGCGTCGAAGGCCCACAGAAGCCTCGAAGGAAGGATGCAGGAGAATTGGTCTGATCATAATGTACGACTGTGTCCGCCCAGTTGTTCAAGCCACATCATGTCCGCGTTTGAGCAACCTTCAAGCTCAGAGCTTCCGAGTCTGGAGGGGTCGAATTGCAATTGAGACCAAGTTTTATTTCGTGTCATCCGTGTTTCCGTCGTAGGGCCTGAGTGCTTTGTCTTTCATTGATCATATCTACTACCTATCCAAGTTAGTCTCTTCCTGCTGCCATTCGAGACAGCCTAGGAAGAAGTATGTACTTTGTCGATTGATGCCCGTTGAAGGTGTCACGTCACTGATTCGTTGTCCATGAGCTATCTCTTACGAAATATTATCCCAACTGGTGCATGGAGTACAAGGAATGTCAAAGGATTCCCAAGTTTGGTGCCGGTGGGTACGGTGGATGTGGATAGTCAACTACTGGTTGAGGCTGGCGACTATACGCAGGGTGTTCTTGCGAGATACAGCAACTAGATAGCACCGGCGGTCAAATTTGGCCCCAAGTTCCGGGGAAAGGGTCGCTGTGACCTCCAAGGTACGTACTTAGTGACTAGTGTCTACCCTGGGAGTCGGGCGACGCATTTCCGGCTGTTGGAGACTAGCCCACTCTGTGCGAAACACTATGCGACAATGGACTGACGGACGGTGGTGCAAAGTGTGGCGCTAAGCGTAAGCTTCCCGTCGTCCGCCCACACAACGATGTTCTAGGAGGACCGAGCCAAATCATGAGATAGGGACCCAGGTACATTTTGACGTTCGAGGTCATTTCCTGGATCAGGTTGCTTTGTCTGCAGAATGCATGCTATTATTGAGAGACATGGTGGGATCAGCGTGCAGGTGGCGGATACCAGCTGCTCAAATCCTTGCAGTACTTTTGTTTTGATGCGTAAAATTGAGTCAAGGCCGATTCCGGGCCAAGAAGGGAGCCCAGAGGCAAAAGATCAGCCCCAAGGGAAGGGGGAGGGGCAGGCGCCACAACTAAGGGATCCTGGGCTCCAGTAGAGGACTTTTGCACCACAAGCTTTGCCGGGAGTCGGAGGTCACAACGAGTAAGCTGAAGGCAGGGTTCGAGAATTGCGGTGAAGACGCCCAGTTTATCGGGCCGCCCTGGAATGAGAGATCACCATGAATCTATGACCGATGGCTTGAGGGCGGAGCTGGACCAGCTACCAGGGTGGACATGGCACTAGGATGTCTCACACAAACGATAAGATCGAAGAAGAATATATCGATAATACTATTCAACACCATATGCAAGGCCGATGAGTTCTGTTAAAAAAGCAAGCCACTTGTGGATGGGCGAAAGAATTAAATTCTGTTGTTTTGGCAACATTTCATACTTTTGAGCTGGTTAAACCGTTGGGTCACCACGGCTGGTTGATGGTTGACAGTGGGTTAAACTCACCTTACCCGAGCAGCCATGATTGTTGATTGAGCGATAGCTGGACTGCGATCCACACGGCTAAGCTTAAGCTATGTTTAGGGACTGCCTGAGACGCGTGCAGTTTTGAAAAAAAGCAAACATTCTGCCAAAGTAGTGAGTATTAGGTAGGTTCTCGGACTGTCTTTTCCAGCCGATCGGGTCTGGCGAACGGCGGGGATTTTTCTCGATGGTTTCTTTTTCATTCTTTAATTTTTTTTTGTTATTTTCTCATGGTAGTTGCTTTTTCCGTTTGCTTCGTTTGCGTTTTACTCTTCTCGGAGAGAGAACCCGTGACGGTCAGCTGACCCGCTTTCTCGCTCTTTCCTCTTCCTCTTCTTCTTCTTCTTCGCACATATCAGATCCTTTTCTTCCACATCCTCCAGCTAGTTAGACTCTACTAGCTTACCACTTAGCTGTCAAACGAAACTTTTCGGCCGGACGAAAGGGACCCGACCTATCTACATCCTACGCCCTACGTTTCTAGATAACCGGGGAGACCTCTTTTACGCAATCCCGAATTCCCAGAATGGCTTCTCCGACTGCTCCCGCCTCCTTGTGGAGCCGGAAATGCGACTTGATTTACTTCTCCTTCTTTGCTATTCATGTCCCCATCATTTTCCGTAAGTCGGTCTAAAGTTGCCCCCCTCCCCCCTTCCCACTGATATACACTCGTTTACGTAGTCCCGAAACCCACTAACTCGCTATCAATCAATCAATCTTCCTAGTGGTCGACGCAGCCCCGATCCTCCCCACCGCCCTCCAATCCAACCTTTCCCACACCCTCCGACAGTTCTACATCGATACGTATCATGACAAGTTCTTCGAGGAGCCACCAGCCCCCTGGTTTTACTTCTTCATTCTTATGGAGCTGTTCTACCATGTGCCCGTAAGCGTCTGGGCACTTGGCGGCCTGAAGAGAGGTGCGGATCTACACCTACTATCATCCACAACTATACCTACCGTTACATCATAAACGCTCGGTATCTCCCTATCTGGAACTTGGAGCTAACGGGGTGGATACATGACAGATGACCCTCTTGTCCCCCTCCACCTCCTCATTTTTGGTCTTCAGGCCTTCCTTACCTCCACAGTCTGTCTGGTCGAGGTCTGGAGTTGGGCAGATCGCTCTGTAGCCCAAAAGCAGAACATCAGCATGCTATATGGGCCTTATGTTGCTCTTGGTAAGTAGAGATACTGCATGCGCCTGGACATCAGTAAGCTGAGTTGGACGGCTGCTAATTAACTCTGATAGGTGCGTTCATGGCACTGGATATGTTCTTTAGACTTCGGACCAGACTCCTAGTCAAGCCCAAGAAGGAGTAAGTAACCACAGTAATCAGTCCCCATAACCCCAATATTCTCCCTTTCCTATTTCAGTGGAGGGCATGCATGCATATAGTATCCAATGCAGGGGGTGTATGTGCTGGGATGATAATCCATAGATCACGTAAAAGAAAATAAAATGAAAAAATAAAGCAAAGGAATGGCAGATCTAAACTCAGGCGTGCATGCGTCTGCAAAGCTGGAAAGTGCACTGTACACAGTACTTTCGCACAGGTGTACTTTGTAGCAGTAGAGGTGTAGACTGGACGGAAATGTTTCGCAGACCAATAAACTAGACCAGTCATTGGGTTCTAGGCCTAGGAAGTTGCATGAGCCTAGTCATGCAAGGACATCAACCTGCCTTATCGTGCTGGACTTAGTGCCGAGGTGTGTGAGTGAGTGAGCTGAAGGCGTAAGGCATACATGCCAACTCGCTAAGTTAGGTGCGGTGGGCTGAAAAACCAAAAGTCTCTTTGGGTCTGTGATCTGTGCTCTGTACATTGTACAGGTAGGAATGCATTCCCACTAGATAGTACTTACTGTGTGAAAAGTGTAAATGTGGCAGCAGGACCCGCTACACCGACCCGATCGCTCTTAATGCTGCAGCTGCATGATATAGGTCGGGATGAAACCCGATGTGAGAAGATGAGGCTTGCGGAATTGGGGGGGCAAAGCAGGGATTGTGATTGTTTGCCACAGGGCTGGCTGATAGTATGGGATGATGGCCTCCAAAATATCCTTAATAAGATTTGGGTGGCTGTTGATGGTGTCTATCTTGCTTGCTAGGTATATAGAGTTCCGTGCGGGGACCATGGGAGTGTGTGGGATAGAATGCAATAATAGTTACGTCCGTAGGCTTCATTGTTACAAGGGAAGTGAAATAGAGACATGGGTAGGGAATAGAGCGCCATCGCACAATTTGCGCACAGGTCTCGCTGTTGTTGATGATAGATCATATTACAGCGGTACGAAAGTTCCCGGAACTGCTCACCCGGCACCAAGTTTGCCAAAAGTTGAAGGATTCCAAAGCGGTGACATCACCTGCGTCATATCAGAAATCCAATGGCTCCATCTAGGTCTCCGTTGGCTGCGTCTAAAGCTCGCATGGCTTCTTCTCGCGTAAAGCCTAGTTCGGTGATCTTCGCGATGGAGTCCGCCGGCCAGCGTGACTGCGGCGGGGCTGGGCGGGAAGAGGATGCCGCAGAGGCCATGTTGGGGCCACCAGCTGCTTGGCTGCGGCTGGCCTGATGCGTGACCGCACCTGTCCGGGCGCCGACTTCGGCGCCATCGGCTCCCTTGATCATGGGCTCATCCTCGAATTCCTCCTGGAGGTGCTTGGGAATGTCTGCCTCTCCCAAGAACGGGACCGCTTGGTCTTGGATGATGAGTGCACCTCGTTTGAGGTCAATGCAGGCTTGGTGTCTCCTCAACATGTCCAAGCCTAGGAGTAGATCAATGTGCTTTCCCTCCATAACTGTGAAGGAGCATGGAAGAAACATGCTTCCAATCTTGATTTGTGCTGAATGCACCCGACCGATGATGTTAGCCGTACCAACGCCCTTTGCGATTCCCCCATATCGCTGGTCGACGAGTCGCATGATGTTGCACGCGGTCGCACATTCGGGTGACATAATGGTGACCTGTGCGCCGGAATCGACGAATGCGTTGAGTCTATGGCCATTGACCTCGACAGGGATATACAGCATGGTTACGCGACCAAATGCTGTGCTTTCATGTTAGCAATAAGGTCGACACGGAAAACGTTTCGCCCACTTACACTCTGGGTGGTGTTCCATGGCATTGTGGAGGTTTTCCGTTACCGCGTTTTGACGGATAATCTCCTCGATCTCGCGTTGATTCTCGGGGTTGAACGGATCAGCATTCAGCATGGCAATTCGAGCCTCCTTCTCTGCTGCGGCCTGAGCCTCGCGCTGTTGTTGTCGTTGAAGGACATCACGGAAGCGCTGTGCATCGTTGGCCACCTCCGCCAGTTCCGGGTTCTGCCGTCGAACAGCCTCGCGCACTTGCGGATTACCGAGAATATGTAGACGAATCGTCTCGGGATCTGGTGTCATTGCCTGTCGTCGCTGCAGGTTTTGTTGGGCAGCAGCAGAGCTGGGGCCCCCAATACTCCGTGGGGGGGCCTGGGGTCTCCGCAGCGTAACCTGAACACCTATCATGTCACCCTCACCAATGCCAACCTGTTCGAGGGTGCGAGCATCATCGGCGAGTAGTTGATTGTTGTAGAGAATACGTTGGGAGGGAGGAGGGATGGAGGTTTCGCTTTCGACGATGGCTTTGAGGAGCTCGACGGTCATGTCCCCACCGACTTCTAGGGAGAAGATGTCGGCATCGGCCTGATCCGGACGAATCACGCTCACGGTAATGCGCCTGAATATTGTGAAAGTCTTCGGTTAGCTACATATTCACTTGGTCTCTCATTTTTTTCCAGTGATGTGTTTCTCCACGACATACATGATGCTGTGCAGCTCTAGTGCGGGGAAGCTCTCCCAGACTCGGAGAGGGTCAAATCACGTTGGGGAACCAGCAAATGCAAGCCCTGGCCAGCTCTGGAGCAAGTTTTCTATCGAGTCTATAGACAGCCAGTAGATCAGGGTCTTTGTTCGGACAGCCTTAGGTGGCCGACGGGGCGAATTATAAATACAGTCACACCAGCGAAGCGATCGACGCGAGCGGGCGAGGGAGGAGGAGGGGGGAAGTGGCGCTGAGAGGGGGAGGGAAAGGTGAGAGGACGGGGCTCCAGACGAGACAGGAGACGGTCGAAGCGAGACGACAGGGTATCCTGGAGATGGGAGAAGCCAGAAGGCAACGGAGTAGTAGTAGGAGAAAGAGATGCAAGTGTAGGACGAGCAAAGGCGGGAGGAGGTGAGGTTACGGTTCCTGGTGAAGTGCAGCAGCGGGCGGAGCACCTCACAGCGGGCCGCCTGATTCGGTAGGCAGCCAGTCATGCGTCATCCGCCGCAACACTCAATACTTACTATAGTAAACTTCCTGTCACCATCCATCCTGCTTTCTTCCCCTTTACTGCGTTCCCATAGTAAAGGGGGTTCGCACGTTGGCTGTGCTATGTCGGGTTTCTCCCTCCTCTCTTCACTTTTTCAAAGCACAGCACATTATCTCAAAGACAACCATCGTACAGGTAAAGCTCTTACTTCCTTCAAATGCTTCCAAGCTACGGTCGCGTTCTAGGCCTTTCTGGGCCCCCGACCATCCATCCATCCAGCAAAGATCCGTCAATCCACACTCGGGTGGTCTCATCAACCCTCCAATCTGTTGAGCAGTAGCATCCCCGCAGTTCGATGATATTTGCTCCACGAAATCACGCAGGACACTGAACTCTCAAGCAGCGCCTTTTACCATTCATAGCACTGCGATAAGAATACCACATGCATGTCCTGTGTGCATGCCCACATTCTTCCCCCAGATGCCATACCTGCTTCCCATTGCGGCCTGATGCCACGAGGTGCAGCCACCGGACATCCTCCAACAGTCATGGAACACTCATCACACAAGAGGACTCTTCCACTCCCGAATATATCCGCGCTCCTCTAGCTCGAGATATGATGACCCCACGGTGCTCGCTAGCTATTCATTGTCCAGTCATCTAGGTGCCCGCTCCTACTACCACTCTTAGCTCGAAAATAATCCATGCCCGTGATTGCCACCTAGCTGCTTACTGCTGGGTACAATACGAGACTAGTGGCCCCAAGGCTCGAAGTCATTCCGGGATTAGGCCCATGAACCCATCCTTGCGACGGTGACATCAGGCAGACAAGGTCTGCACGCTGCGAGCTATTGCAGAGAGCGCCTCAGTGCTCGAATCACTGACTTTAGTTTCTATGCAGTTCATGCGTATATTGCATACTGTACTTCAATCGAGCGGCTTTGTTGTGAGGCCATAGGTGCCACCAACACAATTTACAACACCTTGCCAAGAGGTATAGTCATGACCGGGACATACGTATCGTTCCGGATGATCCATAGACTAAGTGGTCCACTATATTGCTAGTGAGATGGCCGGGCCTTTCATCTATCAAGACTACAACTTGTGCAATTTAGTGCTTAGCATAGCGGACAGCGCCACAGTGGTAGTGCACAGTTCTGCCTGAGTCGAATAGATACTTGGTTCATGCTAATTGGCTGATGCACTTTCCTGACGTGAGTATGGGTGTTGTCAAGCTGCTAGGTACAGTTACTTGATCGTGCTTGCTTCTGAGACCTAGGACATGGGACATGAAGTTTCAGATCATGGGCAACTGAGCTTGGTTTCATACATGCTAAAAGTAGTGTGTTACATAGCTACGATGGTAGTAGTCTCATATGGTTCAGTGCGTAAATCAGCTCGTATGCTAACTACGAGTTAGGTAAGTAGGAAAGTATACGTATATGCGGGGTGACCCTGGGATATATTAACACACAAAATCAATAATATATGAGAAAAGTCTATTAGTACTAGTACTGTCATCATCTGGTCCCTAGAACAAGCTTCTCATCAACATCGCTCACCTCATCCTGAATTCTATGAGCATCTGGGGTTAAACAAAATACAGAGACAGTCGGACGATCGATGCCAAAAGTAATAATTCTGTCGATCAAGGCCCACTGATACTTAGACTGATTACGCATACACAGTATCCTTCGCGGACGAAATATAGTGTCCAGGAAAGTAGTATCCGATTATCATAAGCTGATCCAGTTGGACACTTTGTCATCACGAACCTCCAGACGAGGTAATATTGAAGCCTTATTCGTTTATGCTAACATAACTACATATCTAGGTTAATACGATATATCCTCGTCATGGCTAGCTCTTGCCTATGACTGAAGACATTGTTGTGTCCGGCAGTGATGGCACTTGCTGTTATATGCAGTCAACAATATCCTCGTTAGTAATCTGGCTTCATTTGAGCTCACGTGCACCATTTAACTAACAGGCGTCGCCTCTTTCCAGAAATGGCCCGATACTGAGGATCTCAAGGGTACCAAAGAAGCTTCATATAATCCATCTAATCTCATCGGTTCCGCATTGAGGTCACCAATGTCCAGTCACAATACGGCTGGGCTGTTCAGCCTCGACACGGCTTATCAAAGATAGCCACTGGGAAGCACCAAGTATCAAACCCTGTCAATTCAGTGCTAAGTGGTTAGTGCTTACAGTTAGCCGCTTATGGTAGATGCTAACTAACCTCCGATAACCCCGCCACCCCCCCTTCTCAACGGTCTACAAAGGACTTGTTCTGCTATCTATTGCCATCATCACATCTCCAAATCAGCCCACCAATTACACATAGCTCCCTGCCTTCGGAAGAAGCTGGCGATAAACCAGATAATTTCGCCATGTCCGACTCATCTGAATCCATCTCTCTGCAAGTAACAGTCCATCTAAAACCCGAGGACGTGCCGAAGTTCTGGGCCGCTTTCGAACCCGCCTACAAGGCTGTCACTGCTGAGCCCGAATGTACTTTCTTCGAATTATACCAGTCGCTTGATTCCCCGGGAACTATCTCCTGGGTAGAGAATTGGTCTGTCCCGTTCCATTTCTGGCTGCTGGTTGTTTGTCCATGATTTGATGCTAACCTACCATCTGTATACAGGTCCGCGTCAAAAGAATGGCTTATGGGGGTAGGTCTCACCCTTGTCTAAGCATTGGTGACCAGGAGCTGAACTGACTGGTTCTCAAATAGGTCCAATTGGTGAAGCCGTATTATCATGATTACTTCGCTGCAACGGAGCCATTGTTCATAAAGCCTAGAGAGGCTAAGTTGCTGAAGAGAGTGGGGACGCCGTTTACGATGGTGAAGAAGACGAATGGAGGGTTGGTGGACTAGATTCGAGGTTCAGGCAGCTGGAATGAGCGATAACCCAGAGCATTCTCGGCACTGAATGAGACATGAAAACATACGTACTCAAGTTATATACGCTTATTCCTAGCTGACCCTGTTCCATAAAATATGGAGCTCGAAAGTAATCGCAGCAGTTGAACGCTAGCTTGTACTTGTAGTCATAGTTCACGGTATAGGACACAAAACTGGCATCACATGATCCCAAGCCAGGTCACATCGTTCAAAACAGGTATATTGATCTACTCTGGATCTGCTATCAAAACATGCAGGTACAGCAATGCTGACAAATATGACTCCGACCAGCCGTACCTTCCTTTTAACGCGACTCAGGCCTTACTCGATACGTCTCGCGCATGACACATCTGCTACCCCCTCACCTTCAACCACCTTGGCCGAAACAATCTCATCCACAGGAATTTCAGCCAGCCGTGAAATGACATGATGCAGCGTTGGCAATGCTTCCCAGCTGAGTGCATCAATCTCAAAACGGGCGTTCTTGGTCGTCCGGAGCCGAGTGATTCTCGATGGAATGTTCTTCTGCTCCTCCTCTTGTGGCACAAGCACGGGGTATTCAGCCTCAGGCTGTCCCTTGTTTGCACGTCCAACTTGCGGCATGTAGCGGTAGATCAAGTCACCCTTACCAATGTTCTGAGGAGGGTTCATGCTGAAGTCTTGGTCTTCCAGGTCTTCTAAGTGGAAGTGACCCCATACAGCGCCTTCCCAGCTAGTCGTGAGATGGTAGGAATTGGTCCGCTCGTGTGCTTCGATGGCAGTGTACAGCTTGGGCATGCCGAGCTCTTCGCGACCACTCACGATCGGATCAGTCAGACTTTCGAAGAGAATGGGCAGGTACAGTCCTTTGACTACTTCGCCGTCTGTTTTCTTATACTGCACGCCCTCGATGTAAAGGCCTAGGTGACGGTAGCCGCCGCCGCCGAGCCAGTCCATGCCGTGAAGTCTTGTTTGCGAGAAGCTGGCGTAGGCCACAGTGCTTGGGTCTGTGAAGGAATACCTCTCATTGGGAAGTAGGTTTTGCAGCAGCGTCCGACTGGTTCTGAATCGGATTGACGCCGTCTGGAATGTTGACTTGAGTGACTTCTGGACGCGGTTCCTGCCCCACCAGTCTTGTCTGGGGCCGGGCATGGGGCCGAAGACAATGGGCTGTCGCCAGTATTTGGCCGGGAGTTTGCTCCAGAGGTGCTTACGCAGCACCTGCGTGGAGTGGTCGAATTCGTCATGGCCGTAGATATAGTCGGTCATTGCTTCCACTGTGGAATGTTAGCTATGTAAGATAGACCCATGTGCTGATACTGACTTGTCTCCATTGACTGCGGCTTGGAAGACTCTCGTGTCATCTGCTGCACAGTGCTGGCTCGCGTGTGACGAGCCTTCTCATACAGCTTCAACCGTTCTGGTATCTCCTCGCGGGTCACATCGCGGGACAGCATGACAGCCAGGGAAACACCATCCTCAATGGCCATCGCTCCTCCGGATGCACGATATGGCAAGAATGGATGTACCGCATCTCCGATGACTGCAAGTTGGTCATCGACCCAGGTGGGAAGAGTTTCCATGTCCAACAAAGGCCACACCCTCAAGGTGTAAGGATCAGCCTTGGCTAGCATCTTGATAACCTGGGGATTGAAATCCTTGAAAACTTCAAGAAGCGCCTCCTTGCTAGCTTCTTGGTTCCAATCAGAGGATGTGTTGATGGTGCTCATTGTGTCGGGGTGGATGCAGACAAAGTTCAGCAACTCATTGTTGGCACAAGGGTATATGACCACACGCTTTTCATCAGAATCCCACATGTCCACTGAACTGTACACCTCAGCAAGTGAACGGGTCTCGGGATCTTCCAGGGCATCTTGGCGCTTTATAAGGAAGCGGAATGCGTTCTTGCCAGAGCTGAAAGGTTTAATGTCCTTCGCGAAAGGCAATTTCGATCTTGCAAGGGAGTGGACACCGTCTGCTCCTATAACGACGTCACCCTTGAAAGTTCCTCCGTTTTCAAGAGTCACCGTGGCATTCTTTGGGTCAATATCTACAATCTTGCTCGAAGTGTGCAGCTGAGCTGGTATACCGGGCCCAGGAGCCTGAGAGGCAACTTTCAGAGCTTCGTGCAGATGGGCTCGGTGAACAAGTGTCCATTTCTATCAAGCGTTATGACGATTGGATGCCAAGCAGGAGAAGTCTACTTACGTGTCTCCACTTGTCTGCATGCGCTTTGTTGTCGATTATACCCAGAGGCTCTCCACCAGGAGTGTATATGCGTAACTGGCAAGGTCAGAGATGATCTTTCGGTTAGCGAGCAAGCATGGCAGCGGGTACCTGCTCAGTTTCTACAGCCCCAAATTTGGTGCCGTCGATCCCCAATCTAAGCAACGCAGAGTTTGCATTGGGCGTAAGATGAATCGCTGCCCCGATTTCGTTTGCAAAGCGGGAGCGTTCGAACAACTGCGTCCAAGTTTTAGTCTAAACTTATTGTCTTCACCCTAACGTTCGGATGCAAGAGTAACTGACCTCAACACGGTGGCCTTGTTGCCTTAGAGCGATGGCAGTGGCCAGACCTCCAATACCAGCACCGGCAATAAGAATGTGAAGGCCTCCTTGGGCTGTGCGTGGGTCAATGCTCCCCATTGTTGCAGATAGGGCAGTGTATCACGTTTGGCTAAAGGTTGCAGACTGGGGACACACTGGTTATTTCGCCACTTAAGAGCGGAGTGTTGCCATGACATACTACACAATTATATCTTTCAAGACGACCCCATGATTTCATTCACCCCCACAAATTGCCAGGATGAGTCATGTGTGTCCACCGTTAATGCCGGACGGATTTTGGGGTCTGGAGTCGTGATCTCAATCCTCGGCTCAACAACTTCGGCTCCACGTTCGGGGGCGGATGCAAGGGAACCGTTGAAATGGCGCAAAACACCGTGAGGGGTAGATAACGTCGACCTATTTATCACACCGATTTTGAGTGCATTTGTTACACATTGTTTTTGCTTCCTAGCTATTGATCCTCTATTTTTTTTTGGGTGAGGTACAGTAACAACCATCATGCCGAATCCCATCCGCGAAGACATTACTACCCGGGATGATACATCCTTCCCCTACATCTTCGAGCAAAATGTCACCATTGCTTTGAAGGATAAATCGGGTCTTGTCCGATGCAACGTCTACCGGCCCAAGGAGCTGGAAAAGGCCCCCGTGCTAGTCACTTACGGCCCCTACGGCAAAGATATTCCGTACTCGGACTTCCATCCGAAGTCATACAGCGAAGTCAACCCTGAGCATCACTCTGCCCATTCAGCCTGGGAGACTCCCGACCCTGCCTTCTGGACTAAGCATGGCTATGCTGTTGTTCGGGCGGATGAGCGAGGCACTGGCCAATCCCGCGGAAAGCTGGACACCATGTCCCGTGAAACAAGCGAGGCTTTCTTTGATGTGGTCGAATGGGCAGCTGAACAGCCATGGTCCACTGGTAAAGTAGGACTGCTCGGAATCAGTTACTATGCTGGAAGTCAATGGAGAGTCAGTGCCCGGCAACCCAAGGGTCTGTCGTGTATTATCCCGTGGGAGGGCATGTCCGACTACTACCGTGATCGCTGTCGCCACGGAGGCATCCTTTCGAATGCCTTCATCAAATTCTGGTGGGACCGGCAGGTCGTCTCTAACCAGTACGGTCGGCCTGGTCGTGCTGCCCGTAACTGGGGTCCCGATACCATCGAGGGTGATCTTCCTGAGGAGGAATTGGAAGCGAACCGTCAGGACCAGACAATCGACAACGTCAACAACCGATTCCGCGATGATATATACTATGCTAGTAAGGAGTACACTATGTCCGACATTCAGGTGCCTCTTCTGTCCGTGGCCAACTGGGGTGGCATTCTGCTGCACTTGCGGGGTAATGTGGAGGGCTGGACCCAAGCAGGCAGCAAGTTGAAGTATCTGCGCTTCATCACCGGTCGCCATGACCTGCCTTTCTACTATTCGGAAGAAGTGGAAGTCCAGCGCAGCTTCTTAGATGCCTTCCTCAAGGGCGAGGATCGCGAGGGATGGTCCACTGGAACAGCCCCGAAGGTTGATCTGGTTCTCCGCAAAGGAGACGTCGGATTCAACAATGCTGAAGCGGAGAAGCAATTCCCTCGCCGTACTGAAAATGAATGGCCCATCGCGCGTACGCAATACACGCGATACTATCTGACCTCCAAGCAAGAGCTGGTTACCACAGCTCCGCAAGAGCGCCCGGTCAAGATCACCTACCCTGCTCTTGGCAATTTAGAGAACCCGCAGCTGGTGCAGTTCACCACTCCGCCATTTGAGAGCGAAACAGAAATCACCGGACACATTGTCGCGCATCTCAATGTGTCGATGAGCCCCCAGCCAGGCTCTCCCACTCCGCAAGATATCGATCTTTTCGTCACGCTGCGGTACATCTCGCCCGAGGGCAAGGAGGTGTTCTATACCGGCACGGCTGGAGACCCAGTGCCTCTCTGCAAGGGTTGGCAGCGTGTCAGTCTGCGCAAGACGGACCCTGAGCATCCTCGCCACCGTCCCTGGCTCCCTCATCGCAACTACTACTCCACGGACGTGCTCCCGGTCATTCCGGGCGAGGTCTACCCGGTCGATGTGGAGGTGTGGCCGACCAACGTAGTAGTCGAGAAGGGAGGAAAGATCATCCTGGAGGTCGCATCTGGCGATACACAAGGAAGTGGAATATTCCAGCACAATTCTCCTGTAGACCGGTAAGTTTCTCCCAGCTTGTACTAACGACCACGTTGCTGACAGAGACAGATCCCCGGAGCGATTCCACGGGCTCAACCATATCAACTTCGGCCACGGAGATAACTATGTCACTTTGCCGATTATTCCCCCACGGGGCTGGTTGGAGGAACTCCGCAGGAAGTAGATCATAACTTAGATGAGATAATTAGGAATTGAATTTCATTCTGTAATGCAAGAGCCGAATAACCGGTAGGAACCACCATCTGAACTCCATCGGGATGTGGTCCCGATGCATCCTCGTCCGTATACTATAGTTATAGACACAGCATTATATAGCAAACAGCATCCCGTCCAAAGCAGTATACCAACCTCAAACCAAACAAAGAACTCCTCATTACATTCCAATTAAACATCCTACACCACAATCACCACCCAATTACCTCCAAACCAACACCGCCAAAATGACCAACACCAAAAACATCCGCCCCCTCTCCCGCTACATAACCACCCACGACCCCACCACCAACAAAGCCATCTTCTCCACCACCCTCTCAGAAACCATGCCGGTGCAACAAATCCAAGACTCCGCCAACGCCCAATTCTCCCTCGCCTACACCACCGATTCCTTCCCCGCAAATCTCACCGACGAGGCCGACATCCCCGCCTACGCCTCCTACCTGACCAACCCCCCGGGAATCACCATCTCCACGGGCTCGGTGTGTCGCATTGTGGATATGCCGCCGCATGCGCTGAGTCCGATGCATCGCACGGTGTCGGTGGATTATGGGGTTGTGTTGGAGGGGGAGGTTGAGTTGGTCTTGGACTCGGGGGAGACGAGGTTGTTGAAGAGAGGGGATGTGGCGGTGCAGAGAGGTACGAATCATGCTTGGAGGAATGTTACTCCTGATGGGGAGAATGGGGAGGGGAGCTGGGCTAGGATGTTGTATGTGTTGTTGCCTGCGAAGGGGTTGGGGGAGGGGTTGAAGGAGGATTTGGGCGGGATTCAGGTTAGAGATAGTACTTAGACTTCTCTTTTTCTAGGGTTGTGGGGTGGATGAGGGGTGAGATGGGTGGTGGGTTGGTGGTTGATATACGGTGTATTTAGAGTGCTGGATGGAATGGAAGGGTGTCTATAGTTGTCATGCAGATATATAAGAGGTTGAGAGTCTAGATACATTAAGAGATCTGTGAGCGATACATTCCTCTTGGATGTTCAGGTTATTGATCTTTTATCGCAAATTAAATGCTGATCTGGTACTATACCATTACTATTCACGTGGCACATTTGCTATAGGGTCATTCGTAGCATATAAGATATTGATATAGCGTATAGGTAGTACAATAGATTTGGTATATCTTGACAGAACGCATAAATGAATTTAAATCAGACATAAACTATACTAAATCACCACTCTCCTCCAACTTCATAATGGAAGATCTTATCGTTAATCCTTCCCCCAGTAAAGCGCCAGAGACGCGCAACAGACTGCACATATATCAGAATTATCCAATTTGAAGATTTAGCATAGATACTCACCGCATTCAACCACACCCCATGCAACATGGTTTGGATAAACATATACTCCACGGGACTCGTCCCAGCCGATCGCTCTTCGTAGCTCAAGTTCCGATCCACAGGTCGATATGAAGGGATACGTCTATAGTGCGAAGGCCAGTCCGCAGGCTGGGATACAGGGACAGCATCACGAGGAACCCGGGGCTGAGGCTGGGTCTCTGAGCCGGTATGGTGGATCTCGTAGTCGGAGAGGATAGAGAGCGTGCTGGCGTCAACAGCCCTAGATGTAGTTGTAGTAGTAGTTGTAGTTGTAGACGACATGATGGAGATAATATCTTGAGTGTGTAACAAGCACTTTAGCAGACAATAACAGCAAGTTAGAACAGATGATGTTCCTCTTGACTAGCGGTGGATAGTGCACCGAACTGACATGCATAACAAAAGGGATGTGCTGTCCATCCCATCCATCCCTTGCTTCCTCCACATCCCGAACGCCCAGACTCAACCCAACGCCTCCCTCCATCTTTCCCCCATATTTCCCCCGCACACTCTTCCACTGTCCGCATGATCGGATCACTGACTGGGGCTATATTGCCGAGGAACAGTGTGTTGTCCACATCGCGTGTTTGACTTGTGTGACGTGATTTCGGCTTAACCCCTGCTACTATATCCATCTACATTCCAGACCTTGGTGTAACGGAGTGCCACCAAGCACGCTTACTACCAACGCACAATGGTCGCAACACAACCTTTCCAGCGCATTGTCGCTGCTGAGATAGACGGTCGTTGTTTGAATATCAGATACCGTCAGAATCAATTTCATCGTCTACAGTCCAGACTTGTACAGAATATCGAGCAGATCAAGGATGCGATCGCTGCCGATTCGGGAAATTCGTCGGAGGAGGTTCGCGCCGAGATCTGCCTTGCCTTTAAGGAGATTCGCACTCATTATGCTTCGCTGGACTTGAAGAAAGACCTGGAGGAGGAGTATCGCGTTGCCAATGGCAAGGATAATTATGATGGGAAGCGCGGTGCCGGAATCGTCTATATTGTTCCTTCTTCGCATACTATGTTTTTCTCTGTTGTCGCGGCGCTGAGTGCTGCCATTGCGGCCGGGAACTGTGTGATTCTTGAGGTGGGCTCAACACCATCCACTTATTTGGCTTGATGCTAATTTTAACAGTTAACGAAAACCACCATGGCTGTACCGGGTGTGCTCAAGAAGATCCTGCCTCAGACCCTGGACGCAGATACATTCGCTATCAGCGAGGAGAGACCAGACACTGCATTCCTTAACAAAACACATATCATTGCACAAAGTGACTCTATTACTCCTTCTTCCAACAGCCTTTCTTCTCCCACTTCAGCCAGAACCGTCGCCATCGTCGACCGCACAGCCAACATCTCCGCTGCAGCGGATGCGCTGGTGTCCGCGCGATTCGCTTTCGGCGGTCGCTCCACTTACTCGCCTGACGTTGTACTCGTACAGGAGTTCGCTATGAAGGAGTTCGTGGAAGCTATCATCCAGCGATCATCGAAGTATCTAGCCGGTCAAAATGGAGACGCTCGTCAGACGGCCGTCAATCCGCGACGATCGAGCTCGGGCGCTTCGTTGCTTGATGCGGCGTATAAAGACGCCAGCGCACGGGTGATAGTATCTGGTTCCGAATGGGGTGTAGTTGAAGTGCACGACCGGTAAGCTCTATACCCCCATCCATTGAAGTAGCATGCTGACAGTTTAGAAAATCATCTCTTCTGCAGAAGAAGGTATCCGAGAAGGTGCTCGTCCTGCATCCGGTGACTAGTCTTGACGATGCTATTGATTTGAGCACATCGTATGTCTTTACCCACTTACCCAGCCTTTTTACAATCAACCCAAAGCTCACCGAAATTCAGCATGGGAACCCTAGCAGCAACATACGCCTTCTCTGCCCCAGCAGCAGCCAAATACCTAACCCAATTCATCGACTCCTACACCTCTTATATCAACCACGTTCCCGTCGACATGCTCAGTAAGTTTCCCAATCCCTTCCCAGCCCTCTACAGGAATCACTAACAAGACCAGTCGGCCCCGCATACCCCATCAACCAAAAACCCTCACGCGAAACCCGCTATTCAGTCTCATCCCTGCAGGTCCCGCGACCCCAGTTCGTAACGGAGACCAGCAACACCGCTCTGGTTCGAGACATAGTGAGCAGCTACGCATCCAAGTCCAACGACGCATTGCGTGAGGCTTTGGTGCCACTGCCGGCTATCGGGCAGCGCAGTGGCAAGGCAATTGGGTTCTTTGAGCAGGGGATTATCACTGGTGGGGTGATTACGCTGTTTACGTTTGTGGCGAGTATCTCGACGATGGGAATCTATGGGTATGCGGCTGTGAGGAGGTGGAGGGGGTTATGAGTGGTGTATTTTATTTTATTTATCTTTCTTTTGGAGTAAATTTGGTATGGATGTGAACTTATGTTGTGAGATTGGGGTATAGTTTGTATTTGTGAAATAGTACATGGTTGGTATCTTCTTGGTTGGTCAAGAATGAACGTGATCCTCCGTCTGTGCAAAGCTTAGACATCCGAGTAGCTAATAACAAACTCATAATAATACAACTACTATACTATAATTCAACTAAGAATCAAGCAGCCACAAGCTTCTGCTCTGGCCACCTCCCAAAGGTAAACTGCAAATTAGCCATATTACACAACTCCCAAGTCTCCGCGCCCAAGACCCCGTGACAGCCCTCATCCTCTGCATCCCCCGCTGCCCCCGCCACAAAAGCCGCCGGCACGAAATGATCGTCTGTGCCGTGCGCGTCGCGAAATTGTGGATGCTTCATGAGCCTAGTTACCGCCCGCTGCAGCTGCAATCCCGAAGTCTTCGTCATCACATCCTCCAGGGATTGCTTGAACTCCAGTGCCCATTCCTCCGGGGGGATCTCCTGGGCTAGGGAATCGCGATGTTTGACCATGGGTCCCCATCGATTGCGGTAGAGATTATGGACTGACCCTCCTGTGCCGATGAGGAGGTAGTTCTCCTTTCGGAGTTGGCGCAGCGTCTTGCCTATTTTCAGATGGTAGTGCGGATCGTATCGCGCGTTACTGGATACCACTGTTACCGGAGGGGGATTCCCCTCTGGGAACATCTTTTGGATAATGGTGAACACGTCTACTATCCAGTTGTAGTTGGGGTTGCCGGATACATTGAACCCTTCTGCTTGGAGGAGGTCGATGCATCGTTGTGCCGTGGCCAAGTCAGATGTCATTTGGTAGGTCTTGTAGTCGTTGCTCGGGACGATACCTATGGGGCTGATCTGGGGAGCGGGGTTCGTGGCCACTTCGATGCCGTCTCCTAGTGTTGCCCAGTGGGAGCTCTGGTTTGGTCATCATTGGGTGTTAGTTAGTTAGTGTCCGTGGGGTGGGTGTCTTTTCCCCCATCTGGGTAGTGTAGAGTGACGGGTGGATCCGCGTGTTTATGATGATAGGAAATGGTAGACGCACCAGCATCACGATTCCTCTCACATTGTGTGCTCGTGCTTCATCGCCACATTTGCGCCAGTAGTTGGAGCATTCGGTCGTTTCGTATATCATCATCGGAGAGCCATGGGAGAACAAGTGGACCGGGGTGAGGCCTAGCTAGCGGCATGAGTGGATCTGCTATAGCTGCTGCCAACTGGGGTCCGGTCGGGGTTTTGCGGACATACCCATTTTGTGCCATCCGGCTTCGGCTTTCATTGTCCTGGTGGGGGTGATGGAACTTCCAACAACGGACTGGTGAGTAATAGGATCTGGACTAGTCTGGGCCTGTTAGTGTTGGTAGCTGGAGGAGATGGATCATCCAGGATGGAGACCCAGGAAGGGGCCTCGGTTAGGGTCCTCCACATCCCGAGCACGCTGTAAGGGTCCAAAGGCAATTGATAAGCCACCTCACTGGTCATCGCGAGGGACCATCCCTTTCACTTGCCCATCTGGCTGACCGGGAGACGCGTGCTCGTAAAACTCGTCTGCCTATACTAGCTGGTTGATCGCCGGTAGTATTCGGGTTGCATTCTTGCACATCCTGAATGATCCATATATGAGAAAAAAGAAACCCTGCACTTCCTCTGCCGCTTAGTCATGGCGCCATCCAGGGCTGGAGCCAACTCTATGGCGCAGTCCGAGCAGCAGAGTGGCCAGCCCCATCCTCGCCTCTCTGCGCAATACGTAGACACACTTCAATCTGGCTTAGTTCCCAGGGAAAAGATAGCCTGAATAATGAACTAGTCCCTACTATCCCTCTGAATATTCCCAATCATGGACCCCGTCCCCCGCATTTTGCCATCCCGGGCTTGACGCTTGGTGACTTCCCCACACTGTCCGTCATTCCAACTCACTTTCAGTCTACTTGACACTATTTCCTCTTTTTTATTTTTTCACCTCATCATCCCTTCCATCTCATCTCTAGTTTCACCAATGTATCGCCTCCATCATGCTCGATAAGTCCTCTCCATCATTCCCCGCGCAATCCCCATCACGACCACTCCCTAAAGCGCGCGATGGATATTTTCAATGTGGGTTCTGCAAAAAACACTACAATCGGGCAGATCATTTAATTCGACATGTCCGGTCGCGTATGTCGCTCTCTTGATGCCCACGTATCTCTTCTTTTCTAACTCTATGTGCAGACACCCGCGAGAAACCATATGTTTGCCATGTGTGTAATAAAGGCTTCGCCAGGCCGTACGTCCGTCCTCATCCGTCTCTGCCATCCTCTCTCTCTGGTTCTGACCGCTCCGCATCAGGGACTTGATGAAGCGACACGCTGCAGGTCATGACCATCCACGAGATGGCAAGCGCAAACGTCCCCCGTCCTATGCGAAGAGCGGTCGGGTCTCCCAGGCGTGCAAAGCATGCGCCACATCAAAGCTCAAATGCGACGAGGAAAAGCCTTGTCGGCGGTGTCGGGACAAAAAGCTTATTTGCGACTGGCACGACGCCGGATTCGATGAATTGACCCCGGGGTCTCCGATGCAAGGTTGGTTCATCTGGGAAAAGCCGGTCTATCCGATAACTGAGCGATTTAGGGTACGATGACCCTGATGGCCAAAGCCAGTATCCCGAGCCACCTCAACCGCATGCCGCGTTCTCGCCAACAATACCGCCAATGGGCGACTACCCAGCTACTATCGATAATCCTTCATTTACCACCCCTGACTTTGCTGTAAACAATTATTTGCCTGACCCGCCCGACCCCGCTCCTGAGAATCCTCCGTCGACCAACTATGGCGGTAAGTTCCGCCTATATCGTAATCGAAGTGCAGCGTGTGCTAATCGAGCTTCGCCGAAGCAATATCACCCGCGTTTGATCATGAAAGTGGTATCTTTAGTGTCGATGGAACCTTCTTCCCCGAGTTCATTCCCGATGCTCTCATCCCATCCTTATCCCGTCCGAACGAATTAGATCCACTGAATGCCATGAACCCTACGCCAGACTACCGCCATAACCTTCTTAATACCAACATGCAGTTTGATTTCGATCTGACTGAAGTCGACTTTGGCCTGATCGACTACTTCAATTCCCAGGGGCTATCACACCTTGCTCCACAGCCCCCCGATGCACCCAACGATCGGTCCGATGTGGATAGTAGGATCGCGCTTGGGGCTGAGGCCTACAAACGATCATCACTGTCGGCATGGAAACCTGCACAGCATGACCATGTCTTTGCTGACCAAGATAACCTATCAGTCCCAGTGGTTATGGATAGCCCAGGGTCCAGCATCAGAGGAGAGCGACAGATCCTACCTGAGAGGCTCGCCCCAGGTAGTCGCGATCTCATATTCGGAATGGTCTTACAGACGAGCGAGAAAGCCATGATTCCACGTATAATAAAGTCATTCCCGAGTACCGAGCTGTTAGATGGTCTCATACAAGACTATTTTGCCTACCAGAGCCAGAAGCTGGATCCATTCATTCATGGTCCGACGTTCTACCCCAATGAACAGAGCTCCGACATGCTCACAGCTCTTGCTGCCTCTGGTGCGGTCCGCTCCGCCATACCCACCATCCGTAAACTGGGCTACGCGTTGATGGAAGTTGCACGCCTACACATGTCGACTACGGTATGGTTGCCTTATATTATTAATCTGACAGATGCTGATGTTGGGCAGTTCGAGTCGGATAACCGCATCACACGCCATCTTCGGCCTTCGCAAACATTCGCAGTCGTCATTGACATTGGTTTATGGAGCGGCAATGGTCGAAGGACGGAAATAGCGGAAAGCTTCCAACAACCACTGGTGACGGTCAGTTCACACCTGCACTAGAAAGGATGTCGCTAATGATGGCTCAGATGCTTCGACGGGCATTACGTTTTCGCCGGACGATCTACACAACTATTGTGCCAAGTCCTGAGGACAACGAGGAAGAGCTGGAGAAGAAATGGCACGCTTGGATCGAGCAGGAATCTTTCAGAAGGTGAGACAACTTTTCATTGTCCTAGACTTAAATTGACACGTCCAGACTTGTCCATCATCTATTTTTACATGACGCTCAGTGTGCGATGATGCTGAATGTCAGTCCACTCATATCGTACGCTGAATTAGAGCTTCCGCTCCCATCCATCCGCGCACTATGGGACGCCAAGTCAGCAGCAGCATGGAGGGATACCTACCTAGACCTTGGATTACTTTCAACCGAGCGACAGCCGTCTTTAGTCGAGGCCATGCGGGACATGTCCCGATTACAAGGAGCTGTCGATATGCAGCTGGCCGGATGCATCCTCCTCCACGGCTTTTCGGCTATGGTGAACGAGTACCACCGGTTTAGCTTTATTTCCAAGGGCAATTCCAAACATTGGAATGCATTAGTGACCAACTCGCGACACCAAGAGCTAGCACAAGCCTTGCAGCACTTTCGCATGATCTGCTACGAATGGCCCAACTTCCCCATCCCCGAAGTCATCCTAATATACGAGATGATCTCAATGTTACTATACATGTCCCTAGAGGACCTCCAGCTATTCGCCGGAAAGGAAGACAAGAGCGAGGCAAGACGAGTCTACCACAGTGCACTCGAATGGATCAGCAGCATCGACTCACGACGAGCTGTATGGCATGCCGGCCAAGTCATCCGAGCAGCCAAAGCCATTCCGGCGGGGTCCGTGACCGGCTTCCTAGCGGTGGGAGTATACTACGCCAGCTTGGCCTTTTGGTCGTATAGCGTGGTGCTCAAAGCCAAGAACAATAAAATGGGGGGCTCAGAAAACCGCCCATTGGGTCCCCCTTCCACCATCCGCGGCCCAACGATCTACCTCGACGGAGACGAGACCACCGACGTGCAGAAATTCATCTCTCTCGGATGTGGCAGTCCGGCATTGCAGGGCCGACAAGGTCCTGCGTTTGTCTCTGATCCGGGACAGACTATGGACCTCACTCAGGAGCTTCTGCGGGCAGATGCTTCTCAGGATGCGCTTCCCCCGTTAGTTCAGGGGTTGTGCCAGTTGATGAATGGTCTGGGTAATGCTGCTAGATCTGGTACTTGAGAAGATTATGTGTAATAATGATGAATATGATGTACGATTGGCCCGGCTTGGTGGTGTGTTAGCTTTCAGTAGTATTAGTGGTCTACACGATCGGATATATCCTTGTATATGACATTTGACATATCCAGGGCCATAATTAGTCCCTACATCAAGCACGAGGCTTGGAATCAACGATCAGAAAGAAGAGAGAAATTTGGTGATTGAAGTTCTACTACTACTTAGCTTTTTACCAACAAAGCATGAGAGGACCTAATGATCGTCAGAGAGGTCACTAGTTGATACTAAGTAGTGTCTCATATCAACTTAACCAGATACTACTTGCTAGTAGTTCTATCTTATGGTCGCAAGCTATGATTTACAAAACAACCGCCATACTACTACAATAGTTGGTAGTACTATATATATATTTGTTCATACTTACTCCGCAACGGATGAAATTTATATAACGGGGAATGCATGAACTTCGTGTGATAATAAAACTAGATATATTATTTATATAGTAGTTAAGCACTACACTGAACGAAGAAGCCATCATGATGATCTAGTAGTATAGTGATAGTAGTACGTAGAGGTTAAACCGAATCGTGCCCGCCCGCATAAATCGCACACAAAAAAAGAAAAGCAAATACACAAGGAAGGTTATTGAGGGAAAAATCAATCCTAAGTAGAAAGAGATGGAGAAAAACAAAAAGAGAATTCGAACTCCGATAGGGGGAATCGAACCCCCGGCTGCCGTGTGAGAGACGGCGATGTTAGCCACTACACCATATCGGATGTTGTTGAATTTCACAATGATTCAATGCTCTATAAGGCAACAATTATCCTGAAGGTTAATTAGGACTCGGTTCTTGTATTAGGACCGGTTTATATCATCTTCTTATCGAATAATAATAAACATCAGTGAGAGAGGGGGGAAGATCAAAACGGATGTGCATTTTCTTTTTATTTCTTGAATGAAAGGTCCCTGCAGGGAGTGCGTCGCGCTAATGCGGTGAACACGTGGGGTGACAAGGATCTTCGCGGGTGTTTCTTTTACCACTTTCCACTAGTAGTGCGTACAAAATAGTCTACTGTTAGTTGCTATGGGAAGATGTGCCATAGGATTATTACTAGCATTTACTGTATGCGATCGTGTCTATGATGTGTGATGTGGATGGTACATTTTATATTTATACCGGGGTCAAAGGTAGTTCGCGGCTTGTACCAGGTATATATATACACGACCGGGACTTGGGTGATTGCGACAAATTGTACAGCTACTCGGTTCTTGGACTCAATTAGCATTTTACATATCCTCATTGAATGCTAACTCATTATTCATCATATTGTACATCAGTCATGGGGTATAAAGCGAAGTATACAAATACATAGGTCAGTGGTCCAGTCATCGTCAGCCTAGCGGAATACGGCACCATTCTCTGGCTTCCGAGCGTAGACAACAGTCACTGGTAGATAGGCATGGGTCTGATAGTCGCGAAGAGACGCGCGCATCTGAGCGAGGAACACCTGAGCTCGCTCGTATGACCATTCCAACGTGGAGGTAAGAAGACGAAGCATAAAACCCTCTACCCCACCGTGCAGTCGAAGCTGGTTCCAGCGGCCCTAGACAGTGTTAGCAGTAGCAACACCTGATAATGGACGATCACTTACAAGTTCATGTAATTTGGGATCTGCGCTCCATCTGTGGCAGCTGTCAGCCAGAGAAACATAAAACAGAGGAGCAAGACCTACGCGTTCATTGGCCACTGGAACTTGTTCTCCACGACGCCAACGAAACCTGCATTACCCAGGCGTGCAGCGCTCTGTTCCCAGATCTTAAAGGTCTTGCCAAACTGCTCACCCGCACCAATGACGGTTTGTCCCCAGAGTCGGTAGAAGTGATTTGGGGGCACGGTCCCATCATCCGCGACCGGTTCGACCGAATGCTCTACCACCTCAATGTAGCCTCCAGGTTTGAGGCAACGCCAGCATTGCCGAAAGAACTCGTCCCAATCAGGTATGCAGCCGAACAACTCCCGCACGTGAATGAAATCGAATTGGTTTTCCGCATAGGTCCACGGGAGCGTCACATCGTCAATCTCGAATATGCAGTTCGGAGGGACGAACGCAGGTTGAATCGGAGACAAGTCTACTCCGGTAACTTTGGCACTGGGATATTCATCTGCCATGTCTCTTGAGCCAAAGTCAGTACTCGGTCTATAATTTGAATCAAACGAAGGAGACGATAGGATCACGCACGTTGCCCATATCCCGGTTCCCGTACCCACATCAAGGATTTCCTGCGATGAATTCTTAGACACTTGTCGATCCGCGCTGGCCAACAGTCATGATGCATACCTGTGGATTCGAAATGGGGGCTAGGTGTAACTTCCCGTCGAGGGTCAGACAATACATATGATGCGCTAGATCTTGCTGTTCATTGGCAATGTCATCGTTGGGGCCCTGTAGGACAATCGTAACCTGTTAGCCCACAGCCGTGGACAACGCTCTCAAAGCCGAACAACCCACCCAGTAGGCTCCATCACGATACGAGTGATAACGGCGGCCATACTCATATCGGTAGTCGGTGATGTAAGTGGACAAGGTGATTGTGTCATCGCCGATCAAGGAGTCTTCGCCGTACGCGGAGTCATCATCCGCGATGTTGTCCTCACCATCGCTCATGCGGTTTGACATGTCGACAGAAGAATAAAGAGAGTGTGGGGTATCTAATTCGGTGCTCAAAGAGATCTCAGTGGTAAGGCTATGCTCCTCGCAGCGGGAAGAGGTCATGGCGGCGATCGGGAGCCGAGATCTGAGGACGGTTGCGGAGATCTCCTCGGTACGGGGCACACGAACGGTTGGGGCAGTACAAGGGGGGTGATATCCCATGAACCAAATGCAGAAGACCCAGCACCTTTGGAATAGGAGAAGCGGGGTTCAGATTTCGGGGATCAGTGTGGTGGTTGCGATAAGGTGAAGCTGCACAAAGAGGCAGAGAAATTCGACCGGAAAGATCGAGAAGAAAGGGGGAAAGCCATCAGGTACAGCTGAAGAGAGCGGAACCTGAGTTTGAGCGGTCTGCAACGCCCCGAGCTGGAGATGAAGGTTTACTGTTGATTGCAGTGTGGAACGTGTTGAGGGTGAAGCTGTTTGAACGGACAGATGGTACCTGCCCAGTGCGGTTTAGTTGCGTGGATGATCGGCTCTCGGCCGTATCGGAGTGCCTCGGGATGCTCGGGCTCAGGGTCACCTGCCGAGGCGGTGTAATTATTCTACGATGTCATTGGTGGCAGATGCTGGTTTGAGTTTTGCTGCTTGCTCCTTTTCGGACTTGTTCTCTGATTTCTTTCCGATCGGATGCGGTAGAATGCGGGTCACATGGCTTGCAGATGCAGCAACTAGACTGTCTTGGGTTTAGTGTGCGCAGCTGATCCTGCACGAGTGGCTTAGTCACACTGCCGGCATTTTGCTGCAGAATCCGGCAATGTAGCCACTCCATTGGCAGACAACGTGCAAGTCATGACGATCCTCGTCTCCTTTTTTGGCTGCTCTGCAGGCCTGCAACTATCTGGCAATGGGGATGGTGCCCCCCCCACCGGCGTCTGCTTGTCCCCGCTTATCAACGCACTAATGCTGCGTTCTCGACGTCACCAACTCGAGTCCGGCTCTCCCTTGACTTCGGTCTTCCCGAACCCACTGTCACTTTTGAAGACTGTTGGACACTCCTCTATAATAATCAATGATATAGTACATAAAGATTATGACTCGTGACAAAATGCATAGTCTACGGATGTGATGATATCCAATTACCCACAATGTGTGGTCTACCCATCTTGGGTAATAACAGCCGCTTATCAATGGCCCAGACTAGCACACACAATGCGGTAATTTCGGCACTTGTTGCTTAATGCCGTAGTGCATGGTTGTCCGAGACTTGGATTGCCCATGAATTATCTTGCAGTATCAGACGATGTGACTATTTTACGGTAATTATCACTATGCGCGGCACAACTGAGATGTGGTACGGAGTACTTTTCCTGGTTCCACTGGGGTTCGCCTGTGAGATCCGCAGATTGGCAAAGCCTCAGTGGACAAATCACAGGAGTGTCATGAGTCGCGGAGGCCCATCATGACCCTTGCGCGCGTAGAATCTCTGATTCCGTCACGATGGATTTTCTGACATGTTCCACTCGTTCTCTCATCCTTCCAATCCACCGTACATAGTCGGGCCATATTTCTGTCAACCCACGAGCTTCCTTCTTGTACCCACTCAAGGCCTGTAACTTTGCACAGTCTAAATAACGTGATGGTTCCCCCCGAGCCGAAACTCACAACCACGGTTCTCGTGGTGGGCGCAGGTAAGGCTTTGGTAGTTGCGTTGGACTTAACCCCACGAAGAAGCCATGCACTGAGTATTTGGACTCATAACGCTGATTATAGCTAGGCTCAACTGGACTTGCTTTGGCTCAGGGATTGAAAAAGGTACTATAACACCTACTACTGAAATCCTCCTGGCTAAACACCGTTCTAGGCTGGGATCCCTACTATCGTGGTAGAAAAACATGAGAGTTTAAATGCTTATGACCGTGACTGGAACATGGGCTTGCACTGGGGTGCAGGCCCCCTGCAAGCTCTCCTACCAAAAGAGCAATGGTCAAGAATCCAGTCAGTTCAAGTCGACCCTAATGAGCCCACAGCAGAAGAGGATGCTCTCAACTTCCTCAACGGACAGTCAGGAGAGGTCATGGCGTCTATACCTGCTTGCCTTTTCTATCGCTTGCGTCGTCGGAAATTACGAGGATTGATGGAACCGGGACTGGACATCCGATATGGCAAAAAGCTCCAGGACATCCAGTATTCTGCCGACGGCAAACATGCCACTGCCATATTCGAAGATGGCTCATCAATTTTAGCGAGAATTATCGTGGGCGCGGACGGAGCTCGCTCGACGACACGGCGTGTCTTACTGGGTCCAAGCAGAGGGGATGTCCGCCGGCTTCCTTACTGCGCCACCTTTG